AGGGCAGGAGGCTGCTGGGGGGAGCAGCAGGTACAGGGCAGGAGGCTGCAGGGGGGGGTAGTAGCAGGTACAGGGCAGGAGGCTGCAGGGGGGCTAGTAGCAGGTACAGGGCAGGAGGGGAGCAGGTACAGGGCACGAGGCTGCAGGGGGGGAGCAGGTACAGGGCACGAGGCTGCAGGGGGGAGTAGCAGGTACAGGGCAAGGGGGGAGTAGCAGGTACAGCGTTTGTCGTTTCTCTGGCAGACTGATGTCTTTTCATACATCTTGCAAGATGGTCTATTCAGGATCCTTCATAGATTTCTGTGCTATCCTTGCAAGCATCCATCAGAGAACCACAGAGACACCGGGTCCTGGTGGATGAGTGTAAACACCACCTAATCCAAACCCTGTCAGATTTAGGGCTCAATTTAAAATTATTGCTTACAAATCATTACATGAATCTGCTCTACCTATATATCCTCACTGATACACAGTATGTCCATACGAGGCCCTACGCTCAGTTGGAGATTTGCGTCTATATGTACGTACGCCCACCTCTGTCACCCACTTTTAAGACTTCTCTAGGGCTGCACCATTCCGTTAGAACTCCTTTCCCTGCTGAGTTAGATTCTAACCCAGTCCCAGGTCCGTCAAAAGATCATTTAAAACTCATTTCTTCAGGAAAGCATCTCAATGAAACTGTTGGCTTTCCCTTCCTGCACCTTAGTAACCCACCCTGCTTCCTCTCCTGCAACTGTATCATCCCAAAAAACTAACCCTTCAATGTAAACCATGCTAGAAACCGACTTTACCCTCCATGAAATACGCCCTACCCTTACCTATTGTCAGTTTACCCCACTCCCTCTAGAGCAGGGATGCTCAAAAGGTAGATCTCCAGGTGTTTTAAAACTACAGCTTCCATGATGCTTTGTCATTCTAAAGACATGCAAAGCATCATGGAAGTTGTAGTTCTACAAAATCTGGGGATCTACATTTTGGGCACCCCTGCTCTAGAATGTGAGCTCATTAAACAGGGCCCTCAACATCTTCTGTTCCAGTGTGTCCAGCTCCTCTTGTTACAAATACCTGTGTGTTAGTCCACGCGTTGTACAAAGTTGTTTTGTGTTTCAAATAAAATGCTTGTCTTTTTGTATTATTATTTATAAAGCACCAACAAATTATGTAGCGCTGTACAATAGGTGGACTAACAAAGATTTGCACCAGAAGAGTTGACAAACCGGAACAGAGGGGGGTTGAGGGCCTGACCAAAAGCCCTTACACAGTATCATCCTGAGGGGGCGAGATGAGAAGTATCAAATCCTATATCACTTCAAATTATATACTAAACTAAACAGGGTAATTTGTATAGAAATGTTTTGGGCTGCTATATATGTCATTTTTTTCTTGAGGTTAACCATTTTATGATGTAGGAAGACGGAGCTTGGTTCTCTGTTACTGAGGCAGGAAAATGGTCCCCGCTATTTGTACCAAATTAATTATAATCTTTTGCTTGGGTTAAGTGACTTTGGCTCACTGATTTTCTTAATCATATTCCCGGAGAGTGATATTCTATATATTTGTGGCATCATTAAATAATATTTGTTTGCTATCAAAGCTTCGGGGCTTGTGTTAAATACTGTAGCCTAAGAGCAACCTGATACTTTATCGGTCATGAAAATATTTCGTCTTCTGGGGTTGTGCAGGTTGCTCCACAAAGTATTATGGTTTCTCAGATGTCAAACACTGCAAAGTGCTAACAAAAAATTCTTACAAAATCACTGTTCCATAGATATAGCCCAATATATAGCCAGGCAGATTGTTATTTATTTATTTCACGCTAACAGCAGAGTTAAAGGTTTTTTTCCCCCCTTGGATCCGGGGGGTACTCGGATCCTCCTTCAAGGCATCGGTGGAGCAGACATCCTCCAATGCTGCCCAGCACTTCCACCGGGGCTTTAATGATGGAACGCCAGGATCATGTGACCTCCCGGCGTTTCACTTCAGAAGTACTGGTGAAAGTGTTTGGCAGCATCGTGGATGCGCATTACTATCAATAAAGACCTTAATTATATACGGTTTTAATTAAAATTACTTTTTGTATCAGGACAAGTAGATTGGGCAAACGCTATGTTCCCTGGACAAGTAGGTTTTTTTTTTTATATTTCCATACTCCTGATATTCAATAGGGGTATCTCGTAGATATTGCATCAG